GATTTTGTACAACACTACAGATGACTTCATCAGTAAAAGAGAGCGACTAAGAAAAAGGGATAATGGGTGCTAAGATTGCATTTGAATAAGAAATCAATTCAATTCTGAAACACCAAAACACCATTACTAGTTTAAAACAGAAAGAATGCCCCTCATACAGAACACAACTATTTATGCCCAGACTGACAAAGGCATACATTTATCCACAGCTGTATAACAAGCAAACAAAAAAATGGCATCACCTGGCAGCTCATCTTAACTGATGTTACAAGTATACACAACTGACACACCAACTAATCAACGTAATTACTTCCTCCATGCAGCAATTACAAGCTACAAAGGAAGAGGAGGATAACTGGCTCTACCCATCTATACTTTAACTTCACATTTATTTTATCTACTGCACTCAGGACCATCTATATCCATATACGGTCAATGCACTCTAATGTATTAGATCTCCTCTTTAATCTTACCAGATGCTGTCTGCAGAGTCAGTCCAGCTGGTACATGGATGGGATAAGCAACACTGGAAGGGAGAGTAAGAGTTGCACCTTTTTGTGAAGCACCCTAAGAAATGCAATAGGTTTATTAAGTAACAGCACATACTTTATTCTCTTAGAGCCCTAGATGTCACAATTCACATGCCCAAAGGAAAAAACAAGTGACAGCCTTTTTGTAATTACCTTTACTGAAGAGTTGCTTCAGATTTTTGATATATAGGCAGATAGCATTAACTGCAAAGATAATGGCTTGCCCCAAGTTCTTCCATTTATCATATACTGAAAATTAACAAGCCACCGGCAGACCCTCAATGAACACATCATCCAGAACAATACCTTCCAACTCACAGCCTTTTACCTAAGCTCATGCACACTGTACAGGCTTTTCACCTAGGCCTATGAGGACACTCGACATCGTTCTCTTTTCTCCTGGAAAGAGTTGGATATAAAGTTCCTTTTCAAACTAGCTGTTCATGGGAAATGCACATTTTAAATCATGGAACTCACATGTTACACAAACATCTTCCCAGTACTGTTTTTCAGCTTGGCAAGCTCATTAGCTGGAGGTTCAGGAGGCACTCAATACATTCATCATGCTCTGAATGATGATAGGGCATCCTCCCCTACCCTAACAAGTTCTGCTGTGCCAAGAGGTCAGAGTTTATCACTCCAAAAACACTCACTTTTGTCCAATTTCTACACCTCACAGATAACACAGCTTCCAACTTGACTAGTGGCAGCATCTCCCAAGCACACATTACTTTTAACACACTCAGTAATAAGAAAATTGTTGCACACATGTACATTTTCAGTACTACCAATCTGTGGGCTAAATCTGTGCAGTACGTTTTCCAGCACACTTCTGGCTCCACTGCTTGCAAAGCCAACTGCTACATCTCTATCCTTTTTCCACTGCTTAGACAGCAAATGAGCCCTCCCTCCATGAGCTCTTAGCTTTTGTATGGTTTTCATCAAAAATAAAAGAGAGCTAGACATGACACACTGAGTTTCTTCAGCTATGGATTCTCTGCCAGATTCCTGTTTCCTTGCCTATCATTCCAGGTTGTACAGATAAAACAGTTATTAGAAATGCTAACTTTTTCAGCTCCTAAATATTGCCCTAAGGCATCTATGCAGGGGAAATGCTTCATGTTTGCCTTCCCACCAGCCTGTTAACAACTGACAAACTTAAGTATTTAGATTTCAGAATAATCAAAACAGAAGAAAAGTCACTACAGCTACATACCAGGTCTGCTGCCATGAAATGCTGAAAGCCTCCTCCAGTTGGGATAACTAAGGAAGCTATTAAAAGGGAAAAGAAAAAGAAAAAAAGCTTATTTAGACAGAATGTCTCAGAAACAGTTGAACATTCAGTTATTTACAGCATGAAGCCTAAAACTAAAGCAATCTAACTTCAGTTCATACACATTAGATCAACAAATAAGCACATCTAGATGAAGCTGCTAGATATACTTCCTTTTACATTTCTTCAAGCTTATGCTGTGCTCAGAGCATCAGGTTATACCTTGATATGGGAAACTTGAATTTTATTAAAAGTTCATCCTGGAGATTTTGTTGTAAAGATATTTCTATTCAATGAACTTAAGAAGCTGCAGTGTAAAAGCTAAGTATGCCATTTCTATTTATTAATACAATCAACATACATAAAATGCACTGCCTTGGCAACATGAAGAAAATGTATAAGTTGTTTTCTGCTCCAGCAAATATCCAATGGTGCTAACAGTAAGATGGGTATACAAAAGCATTAATACTGACTTAAAAAACAAATCAAAGGGAAAACTTTTGCAAACTTTAGGCACAGAACAATCTATGCATCCCTAATTAGTTTGAAAACATAGGACAATTCAAATCCTACTGAAAATAGACAAAAAAAAAAAAGTTCCCTCAATTCAACAGATTTGATTGTGCCTTTCCAAAACATAGGATTAATGAAGTTAATTAAAAGTAAAGCTTCCAATAACAAAAAAAGCCCAAATCTATTTCCCCTTTAATAATGTGGGATAAATAAAGTATCTGACTCCAAAAACAGTTCTTTCAAATAAGACTGTAAAAAATAAACAGATGAAAGGTACCCACCTAACCTTGAAAGGTTCTCCATGAGCACAAGCACTATGACACATTTTCATTAAACAATCACATATGATTTGTGTTCTTTGTCAGGAAAGGTCTTTGCCCGCTCTCTCAGCTGAGTGTTCCATTCTACCATGAGATTACCATATTGGTCAGGTGAACCACTGAAGCCTTAATCAAGGGGAGTTAAGTCCTGCTGGCTGAGCCTGTGTAAAAGGCACATTCTTTTGTGCATTGTGAATGCTGTTTCTAGTACAACTAACTGAAATGACAAACCAAAAACTTGCACTCTCTTTGAGTAAGGGCTTGAATTTTAAGATGTTCAGAACTAGACTCAACTCCAGCATGACAGAAGAGCTCCAGGGCACAAGCATGTCACATAACCCCCAGCACACATCGTGCCATACATTATAAGGGATGCAAAATCTTAACACATCTGGTGAATTTGCAACTGAAGCTTTACATTTCTAGACTAGAAGCAAGAAGACAAAAATTCTCTTCATGTTTCCCTGTTAGAAATAAATGGCAGATAAAAGTGCAGCTAGACATACCTTTACAACTTTAATCAAAGTTTATTTTTCTCCCTTACTGGTTAAACTCTGATTTCAGAGCGAGACATACTGTCCTGTGTTACACTAGATATATAAAAAAACATGGCAAAGACCATTCCAGCATCTTCAGGTCTTCCAAAAGATACTTAAAACACTGAGCTATACTTAGACTGCATTTGCAGAGTCTGACCTGCTGGAGCCTGCAAAACATGATGAAAATTCTGTGGAACCTGTAGAGTTAAGTGTGAAGAATGGTGTCTGTGTTTGAAGAGGCCTTCTGTTGCTTTAGACTGCATAACCTTGGTTTCCCAGAGCTGCAAAGAGAATATTAAAGTCAACTGACATCAGTTTTAAAACCACTTATCTTATATATGAATCAGGTATTTCTAGATTTTCCAAAAGTAGAGAATCATAGAACATGCTAAGGTAGAAGCTACACAATAGGATCACTGAGTCCAATTCTGGGCTCCACATCATCCACAACCCAAGCCCTATTTCTCATAGCACTGTCCAAATGCTCCCTGAACTCTGGCAGTTCAGGGCCATGCTCACTGCCCTGGACCACCTGCTCCATGCCCACCACCCTCTGGAGCAGAGCCTTTCCCAACCCCCCAACCCTCCCCTGACACTGTTCAAGGTGAGGCTGCACAGCGGAGCAATCCCTTCCTTCAGCCAACTAGCAGTGCTGTAAACCAGTTCTATACAATAAACATGGCTACAATCACTACTAGATTCTGACTTCCAGAAGCCCAGTACAGCATTTACAAAATATTTATAAATCTAAAAACAGTAAACTGACACACTTTTGAAGACAGAGGAACAGTATTTATTAATAAATGGAAAACCAACAAACCTCCTTCAGGTTTCTTAAAACCTGTTTATCTATTCCCTCTTCTGCAAAGAGGTCCTGAATACTTTCAATCACATCGTCAATAATGGACTTGTAGAGTTTAGGCTATGCCAAAAGAAAATAAAAAAAATTAAATTAGGATGAACAGTAATATTTGTAGTGATAGCATAAAGCCTAATCTGGCCACGTTACAAACTGCACAACATGAATCAAGCACTTCAATACAAGTATTCTGCCAGGTGTCTGCAAGTCTACCAAAAACACAGCCCACTTGTTCCTTTAAGCCTATATGACCCAAGATTGTTCTCATTGTTTGAGACAACAGACACGATGTTATACAGCTGCTAAGTTACAGTAATTTTAACTCTTTAGCTATCAGTAGATATCATTCAACTTATACTAATAGGGCTGTAACGCAACATTTTATTACTTCATCCCCGTTGTCTTGGAGAGCAGACCAGCCATAACAAGCTTGAAGACGTAGCCATTCAGATCAGAATGGAAGTTAACGAGCTTTGGGCAGAGTAAGGCTTACTAATCACAGCAATCACTACCACCTCAACAGCATACTGATACAAAGGGAAAGATGAAGCTAAGGCAGGACTTGCACTAAGCACAGCTTTAGAGCAAGCACAGCTATTTACTACGCTATAAACTAGGCAACAACTCTATAAAGCAACTGAAAAACACAATCATTGCCTTCAAAAAAGCAAAAATAAAGCAGCGACCACGAGGAGAGCACCCTAGGCAGCCCCTGCTCAGCTCCCTAGTGCACACCCGCCCCGGCAGGCCGGGGGCAGCCGCTTCTCCCCATCCCCCCGCTCAAAGGAGCGGCTGCAGCCCCTCACCACGGGGTTGCCGTGAGCCATGGCGGCAGCCTCCCATAACCGCCCCTTCCGCCTTTAAGGAGCCGTTGCCATGGCGACGCGGCCTGGTTGCCGCCGGCCCCACCCGAAGCTGGAGACATGGCGGGATGGGGAGAAGCTGAGCTGAGCAGCACGTAGGGACCTGCTTTCTGCAAGGTGGAAAGCTAGAAGTGACTGTGACCACCCACTGCCATTAGCTCCTCTCAAAGGAGGAATTAGTAGCATCTCCGGTAACTGCTGGCTGGAGTAATTACTGTTTTGTGAAGCTGTGCTGCTCTTCGGTTATTATTTTCTCTGGCCTTTGGGGAGGGCTTTATGGGTTTTCTCGTGCTTTTGGCTCCTGTTGATAGTCTCACAGTAATCGTGGCAGTGTGGACCAATAGCTAAAGTGCCGATGCAAAAGCAGCCAAGAAACTAAAGCTTTTGTCTGAGCCTTTTCGGTGGCCTAGAGCAGGTCATCTTGCTGCTCTTTGTCTCCATTTCCTCGCCTGCAAAAAAGCAGTGCTATTGTAAGATTGCTCCCATTGCCTACTGATGAAAAGTGCACTAGCAAAGCTTCAAACTGTTATTAGCAATAGCATCAACTGGAGAAGAAAGTGTTTTCAAAAAACCATGCTTTCCTCTGCTCCCATTGAGCTTCTCTTTTCCTCCCTATCCCTGAAACAGCACATAAATTGCCACACACTGGGTTTCAGCTGAGCACTGGTTACCAAACCCAAGTTTCTTCTTTCAGCTTTAGAGGCCAAAGACTGACCAACACCTGGACTGTACAAGGCAGCAGAGGTGCCCAGTTTGGACCCAGAGCTCTAGCAGAACCTTAATGCAGTCAGAAAACCCAGTTTTTGTTCATGGTGGAAAGGAGGCTTAGTTTGGAGAAGTACGGTTGCCTCTGTGGTGCAAAAGTATACCCAGGAAAGCTGGCTATAAAAGCACATTATCTTGCTCTAATAAACTCTGAAGTCATTCTTACCTCATAAACAGGGAGAAAGCTGAAGCTGTTGGTTAAGTAGCAGCAGTCTGGTACAACTACAGAAATTATTGCTTACATTTGCTGCAATCTGTTCACATGTTAATACAGAGATTTACCAATTTAGCAGTTACATCTGGGAAAACGTTCATTATAATCATGTATGTAGCAGAGCATATATTCCAATCTTCCTTTGCATACCTTCCATCCATACCTATGTTGGTGTTATTCTCCTGATCCTGAGAACCTAGAAACATCTTTTTTCTTTTTCCTTTTTCCTTTTTCTATATTTAGGTAGGTGCATAGTGCTGCCTGACTTGTAAAGAGAAGACTTGCTCTTAAGCGCTGATCTTAAGGCTGGCTTACACAATCTGAAGAATGAAAATATTGTAATGAAAATCCTGACAGACCCTTAATTATAAAGCTAGACTAACACCCACAACATAAAAAAAGAAGCAACAGCCATAATCATATTCTAAGTTGCATTTTTACAAATGAGACAAAGAACAAGTGCTATTTGCTATTGAAGTAATTTTGCTTTGTAACAGAAATGTTTAATGATACTGTCTAGATCTTGAATCAAATGACAATTGCATATTCAGCTGTTCTCTACACCCTGCCATCAACACAAGAAAAAGGCAAGCCACGTTGCTTTGCTTATAGAATAATTTGAATAATAGAATGTATTTTTAAAGCATAGTGTTCATTTGAAACTGTCTGGGAGAGCGCATACCAAGAGAGCCATTATTCTCCTGTCTGATTAGCCCTGTCGTGTTAGCAGAAATAGCAAGAAGCCTTTAGGATCTCACTGGGCCCTGAAGATTGCAGATGGTGATCCTGCAGCTGGTTGCAGCTTATTCATGAGACAGATAAACCTGATACATAGCCATCTATCTGCCAGCATTACCATACGGCAGTTTTATAAAGGTGAAAAACATGCAGAAAGAAAAACGTTTATAAATGAGTTTCTCGCTTACTATGATCTTTCATTTATCCAGGGTGTTACAGAGTTCCTTGAACTTGGAACAGTTTGCATATATGACTTCAAAAAGAGGCGCAGACCGGGGAGCTTGGTTCTGAAGGACTTCTCAGCTGTCTCAAATGGGGGCCAGGTTACTTTGGATACGCCCACAAGGACATCTGCAGACCATGGCAAATGAGCTTCACCTGCACTTCAGGTTAACAGTGTGTCTCTGTATGCTTATGTGTCTAACAAATCTCACCAGCACAAGGCACTGTAGCCATATCCTGTGTGTTGTAAATACTTCCTTTATATTGCTGGTAAATACCAAAGCCCCACCACCAAATCAGTGTGTGAATTCCCTTCATGCAGGAACAGCACTCTACACCTACCCATAGAATACAGGTATTGCTTAGGAGAAAGTAAAAATAGAGGGTGGGGATACAACTTTCCAAGACACACAGAAAGGTTGCAGTGGGCATTGCATGCTAATCAAGGCACTTGGTTATCACCTGAGGTCTGGCAACTACCTGATAAAATTTCTGTGAGAAATTACTAGAGGAGATACCTTCTCGCTCAAGTGCTGTGATCAGTGTGTCCATTGGGCAAGCATGAAAAAAAGCCTGGTTAATTACATCCTTAAATTAAATCTTTGAATAAGAAAATCTATGAAAACACCCAATAATAGCAGTACTTAATACTAATTAGCTACTTTTGATGTTGCTGATCTTAACACGGTACCAGTGTCCTGCAACATAAAATGCAAGCCTGTCATGATTTTCATGCTTATGCATTTTCTTAACATTTAACCCCACTCTTAAGTGAAGAAATGCACCAGATATTTTGCCCAAGCTCTCATAAAGCGGTTGGGAACAGTATCTACGTTTCATCCATCTTAATTCAGCTTTCAGTCCAGCCCTCCCCACTGCAGTTTCTTTAACAGCTCTCAAGTGTTTTAGAAGCCGGGCTATCAAAAAGATTAGTATGCTGTTCAGATCCTCCTGATTTTTCAGGGTTTTGTCAGCGTTTGGGATAGTGATGCTTAAGGGCACCTCAAACATTCATTTACTGGACAGGTTTTAATTTGTAATTATTTATACTCCTCTTGATACGTGACGTCTAGGGAAGATTTAATTTCGGATGATGAATCTTTATTATTCATTTTAAAAAATACTGTTTTCCAATGCATTACCACTTGAAACACTGTCCTCGGCGAACTCAGAAGCTTGGTAGAGAATGCCCTCTGCTGTTAAAAATCAGTATTGCTGCTCTTGAGGAACATAACTGCAGCTCTATGAGAATGTTTCTTAAGTTATTATTTTACAACTGCCATCTCGCTCCTCTTGCCAAGTAAAAGTAATCATTCTTAGAAGAAAGTGGCTGCAGAATCTGGGAAGTCCTTATGCAGCAGCCTTGACATGGGCAGAATTATAATCTCATTTTAAAGATATTGTCTAACACGCTGCCTTTGTTTTCAGTTGTTGATTTAGAGACATGGTGCTCTGGTATCATAACCAATTTTATTAATAGTGTGGTTTTATTATGAGCTTCATCATTCTTTTGGAGATCTGAGACAGATAAAGCTGGGACCTGTGATTTGTTCCTCTCCCATTTATGATGTGTGACTCCTGTTTCCTCAGATGACTCTCCTGTTTTTTACCTGATTCAAATCACTTTATCTGAACTGTAGGAAAGACTTTCCCTGAATTCAATTTAATGATAAATTTTCTGGATATTGGGGAGCATAAGAAGAGCTCTGATCTGTAAAACAGCTGTATAAAAATGGCACTCCTGGTAGACTGATTACACCAAATAGCAGCATGCAGCTCTGCTCCCTAAAACACCCAGAAACTCATGCAGCATAAGTAATCCTAATTAAGGATGAGATAAGCCTTGCCTTTCCTGAATACTCAACCTCCCTTCTTGTATCATCTTGAAGAAAGATGATAGCTCTGCTCCAAGGCTTCCCAACTCCACTGTGCTAAGAGGTGATTCTTCTAAAAAATTACAGTTAACTTTTTTATTAATTTTACTAATGAAAGAGCTGTAAAATGGCTGAACGTAGCACATGCTAGGAATAAAGGTTTACATGTTTTCACCTGATAAACAGGATAAGTGGCATGGTTATTTTATACTTTAAGGCAATTCCTTGAAGTGCTGCCCCACAGATCTCTGCCTTACTCATGTATTTCCTCACTGCGACTTCACCACTTCACTATGAATTGCAGCTCATTTCAAGAACAGACTTTGAAATTTCTGAAGGTCTTCAATGATTGTCGCTAGGTTATATTCCAACATCCCAGGGAGTTTGGAGAAGCACTGGATAGGAAAAAAAACGTGGTATTCATTGGCTTACTATTGTTATGTGAATGAGGCAAAAAGCCTGCAGTATATGATCATTACTAGAATATGTAGTTCAGCTTTCTGCGACCAGCATCATTTGAGACCAGGATGACATCCCCCACTCATACACACAGTGCAGTTCCTTTTTCTAATGAACTGCAGTACTCGCCACTACAAGATCAACCAGTTAATTACAGTAAATGTAAAACAAGCTTGATAAATTTTTAGTGAGGGGACAAGAAACGGCAAGTTTGAAATACAACTTTATTTTTTTAATCAATATGCAATCTACAAAACGTTATTACAAGATCATCAGCGTGATCTTTTTACAGTTAAACTGACAAAAATAAAATTATATTTTCCATTAAGAATAACAGCACTGCTTCAGAGTTATCAAAATTACAGCTAAGAATTACTAACTGCAGCAGTTAGTTACCGTGTTTAGTCAACAAAAAGACAAATAAATGTGAAATAGAGATGTGGACACCAGTACTGCAGCTAAGAAGTCTGTCAAACAAAATAAATGCAACTAGAAACAACGTGTGAAAATACATTTTCAGATGTAGAGTACTTTTGGACAATTAATACAGAGCATAAGGATGATCGTGGCTTGGCATCACATTCAATGGAGTGCACCACAACCCTCATTTCTAAGAGCTGCTGCCCAGGGGCAGCCAGAGCATCATTCCCCGTCACTGCAAGGCTTCAGCTTTGACACCCAGTTATGCATCCTTTCCTCTCTTTTGTTCTCTCTTCTGGTTGGAATAAGCACGCGTTGCAGGTTGCTTATTGACCAGCATCAAGAATATTCTACAGTGTTTTCTTTTCCTGCCCATTACAACTATTCATGTCTTTTTTTTTCTTTTTACCACTCCTTTATTCTTACAGACTTTGATGCAGATTCCATTTTGTCAGTTAAAAGACTTCCATTGACTTCAATGGGTGTTTTTGTATCCAAAATTATATCAAGTATTATCTACGGTAACACAACTAGTATAAGAAACATTAATGCAAAGACATTTGTCAGTTTGAGCAAATACAATACTTTGTAAATAAAGAAAATGCTTTAAAAATAGCTGTTCTCATTGATTTCCATTTAAAATATAAAACATCCCAAGCTCTGCTTCTCCTCTGGGAAAGAAACACAGGTAACATCTAAATACTGCCCTGCAGTAAATTTTAGTGAAGTGTACGCATCTGAAGAGAGCAGAACAGTTGGAAGAATTTCAGTGAGTGCAGGTGCTAGCTGCAGGCATACACACAAACCCTGCTTCCTTGCACCATGCCAGCATACCTCATGGGCTATGTAAAGCTCCAGTCCCCTGCCAGCTGGACACTGAGTACCTCGACATGTTATAGCAACTGTTCTTCACCTCATTCCTCCCCCCCAGAATACAGTTAGACAATTTACTGCCCAGATTTCTAAACAATAAAGACCAGTATGTTTACTTACCATCAGCTACTATAGCATTCATGGAAAATGTGAGCAATTAAGTGTTAAACACTGAGAATATTTGTTCAACTGGTTATATTCAACAGTATCAGAGCACGCAAAAGAAATATCAGAAAAGGGAAGCCAGTGTTTCTGCTTTAGATTGTTGCTATAGAATGGGAAGTTAGAATTTGATGGGTAGAATAAGGTCAACCCAAACTTTTTTTCATTAACTGCCTTATATGTTTCAATGTTTTGACAGTAAGGCATACAATCACCTTTTGAGGTGATTCAGTTTGAGACTGAAGAGGGTAGTTTTTCAGCCTTAGACTTGTTGTGAAAACTATGAATGTAACAGTAACTTTCTTTCATTCCATCTCCGTGGAATGGATTCCCTGTGACCCTGATCCCATTCCTGCTAAAGTGAACAGAGAGTCTGGCAAGCCTTAGATGGAAATTCACAATTGTGCCATGTGGATAAAGCTGTAGCTTGACCTATCTCTGTTAATGAGCTCAATAAGGCGGAATGATCACTTGCACCATACCAGATAGAATTAGGACTGATTACCAGGAAAGGCAAATTTATAATGCAGCTTTGCAGCTCTAGCATATCCATGGACCTAAATGAATCACTGAGCTCTGCCATGGTGCTAAGTATAAAAGTGTTGCCCCAGCATGCGCTTGTAACACTCAGTTCAGTTTGGAAGTAATAAACCAAAATTAAATTTGAATACAATAAAACAGACATGATTTGAAGATGCCAATGGCTACCAAAGTCAAAGGAGGAATGGATGACACAATATCTGAGACATATTTTGGATCCCTACTGTACTCAGATGCTTGCTTAGATTTATGATATCACATCTGCCAATAAAAAGGGATAATATATAAAGATGACAAAATAGCATAATAGTCTTTTTGGGGCTTTGGCAGTGCAATACCCATAAAATCCTGCTCCCAGGACTTACTACAGAATCTATTACCCATCTCATTCTCAGCTTCCAAACAGGGAGAAAAGTTTATCGTGGTGAACTACGTTCACATTACGGCCTTCTGTTTCCTCCGACTGGTAATTTCCTCAATGCATATCCCACATTTTTCTGCTCTGGTGGAATAACATTTTTTTTGTATTTTTACAGTGGTCATATAGACGGTTACAAGCTGTAGAAAAATATAAAGTGAAACTTCGTGCATTACTGTATTTTTGTTCTCGAAACATGTCTGTTCCAAGTAAGGATTACTTTAGGAAAAAATAAAAACATACTAAGAATATTTTTTCAATTTACTGTATTTCTTTTCTTCGAGTGGGAGAAAAGAGCCTGCATAAAATGATTAAGGGAATAAAGGCTGTAAGGAAGTGGAAAAACTCTTCCTAAATTACAATGATAGGACATTAATATATTAATAAAATGTTAGTAGCTATTTGGTGAAGTGACACAGCTTCACTTCCCTTGAAATAGTCTATTCCTGCACTGTTTCCTTCCAGAAAGGCCTTCAGCCAGTGGCATGGTGAAACCTCACTTCCCATGCATGGGAAGACATGCTCTGTGTCTTGAGGCTCCTTCACGCAGAAGCTCCTGCAGTTTCCAGAGCAACATCTGGACCCTGCATCCTAAAGGAGCAATTGGTAGCAAGTCACCATTTTTTTCAATCTGTGGGCAAAGCCCTCTGCTGGTGTAAATTATCAGAGCTTCATCAAATGAAACGGGACTGGGCTGCTTTATGCTTGCTGAGGATCTGCCCCCTCACTTGCTGCAGCAGTGGAAAAAAAAAGTCTAATGCTGACACAGACAGAAGTGCTGGGAAGGAAACGCTCACTGCCACAGAAAAATGAGGAATATTACTGCAGAAGAACTTTTCCCATTTTACCAATGAAATCACCCTGGTTCTAACTCATTAGTCGAAGCTCTCATAGAGAATAATATTACAATTTGTTCTGCTCACATAAATTGTGGAGAACAGAAATATGGGGGATGGAGGATTTCAAGCGTCACTAAAAAAAATGTAATTGGTCCTGCTGGACCCTACACAGATGCTGGTCTGCATGTAAGAGCCCTGGCAGGTTTTATTGCTGAGTATTATATGTCCAAGTGCTCAAACTCTTTGAGTAGTGCCGTTAGGTTTCAATGTGGAATATGAGATTGTTCCCAAGTCATAGATATGCAAGAGGAAAAAAATATATTATGATCAGTCAAAGAAGTGCTCATAGCTTGCAAACCTTTACAAGCAGACCTTGCCCATATCAGTTTTCCCATGACAGGAAAGTGACTTGAACACAAGCCAATAGAATGAGTGCTGATTTGCAGAATCAAACTCAAAAGCACTTAAAAATATATTCAGTGACTTCTTTTATGTGAAAGTAGGCCATTGCGCTGTTTCTAACAATAGAATTTCCTGTGTAAATACCCTACAATGATGCCCGCTGTTCTCTTTCACTGCATTAAGCAGTTGCCAGCCTTATCTGGATCTTCTCCATCAAGCGTAATCCACTTCTTTTCAATTTCAACCTGTAGTTAGAAAACAAAAGGCAGGTAGAATTAGCTGGAAGCATGATCTGCAGCAATGGCACAAATAAGAGCTTCAGTGCAGAATTAAGACGTTTCCAGATCCAACAGATTTCAAAACCACTGCTCTCAAAAGTAGCTCACTGAGGAAAAACAAGGCTGCATTTACAGTTCTGTTTTTCAACATCATCTTTGATCAGACAAGGAATTATTTTTTAATGATGCCTTTGCTTGAAGCCATTATCTCAAGCAAATGAAAGGTTAGAATACTGCATGGAGGGAGTTGGGCAAAGGAAGAAAAGGGGAAAAAAAAAAAAAAGGAAACACAGAACTGAAGATACCTGGCAATGGTAAAAAGCTTTCTGAATCACATGCTTCTGGGGCTGCACATCACTCTCTAAGCCCAGTGACTTCACTTCTGCTCCTGAGGCACAGGTATCGTGAATGACGAACTGCACAGTGGCGAATGGATACCAGTCAGAAGGTATTTCCTGGTCTGATCCTAGCTCTAGTTTGTAGGACAGGCTGTGTGGATGATCTGCACCTTGAGAAAGGAAGTAACAGACAAACAGAAAAAAAACGTCAGTGAATTATCTTTTTCTTTGTTTGTAATGCATGGTTAATCTGCTGGTAGGAGATCACAGCTCCATCTTTTAGTAATGCAAAGCTATTATGTTGTACATTATCCTATCAACTTTTGCTACTTGGACATATGGAGGCACCTTACTCACTTTTTTCTCTTCAGCACACTTTTCACTGCAGTTCTACAAATTAATTTACATACAATTTATTAGATCTTCCCAGCTTCTGATTAAGAAGAGAGCAGTAAAAATGGCTGCTAAATTCAGACTACGAGGGAAGAGTCTCAATTTACACTCAAAAATACATGTCTTACTTTAAATCTCATAGAAGAATGAAAACTGGAAGACCGCAGCTTAGCCAAGGCAGAGATACCTCCCTGTGCCCAACAACCACGTTTTTCAGAGCTTTCTGCTGTAGGAATTTCACTGGGATGTTGATTGCAAGAAATACAGCTATCTTACATACAATCATTTATTACTGGAGGTCTATGGTAGGAAGGTAAGGCACAGCTCAGACTGCAGCTCAATCAAGATGTGGTGCAGCTGCCAGGATACGAGCTGCCTGCACGCCTTTTCTAGTTTTGCTTCTGCTATGGGAAAAGAACGTTTCTACTTCTCCCCAGCGAAGACACTGCAGAATTAACAGCCCTGTTGTAATGTGGGAATGGTAAAGGAAACCATTTCTTTCACCTGGTACACAGGAACACCAGGTTGAAATGCCAGCCTTCCAAATAAGCTGAGATCAGCAGGACCACTGGGCAGGAAAGCAGTATAACATAATGAAAAGAACCCTTTCTATCACATCTGCATTGTCAAATTCTTCAGGGCATAAAGGAGCGATTCTGCCTTTCCTTTCTTCTCCAGCATCAGAATAAACAACCAACTTCCATTTGGCCTCAGGCCAAGAAAAGCAAAGAAAGGATTGGTCGTATTTTGTGAAAGATGGGCTTCACACTGTATATTTGGCTTTTATTCATTATACTGACCGGCACTCAAAGTTTAAGCAAAAAAGTCTCATTCTTTCTTCTACCAGTTCCAGCAATTTTGCACCCAAATGAAGGAAATACTAAAGACAGAAGTAACATACACCAAGCTTTATCCATCCCATGGGAATCATCAACATAGCACTCCGTATGTAAAGGCCCAACAATGGCCTTTACAACACCCACCACTGATTAAGGGAAACCCAACAGAGCAGCACAGGTAGAAAAACCTCCTTGTAAACTTTTCAATCCACCTACAGCCCCAGTCAAGGTAGATGCTTCACATCCCCTGCACACTTAAGAAACAACAATCACCCCCAAACTGCGGCCCATGATCAAAAGCAGCAGAGCTGTCATCTCCTTTTTGTGTAACAAGTCAACTGCTCAGTTCACTTGTGCACAAACCAAGCTCAGAGTTGTCCATGCAGCCATAAGGCAAGGTTGTTATGGTTGTTAAGTAGGAGTCACTGACTGTGACTTCTGCTAAATTTGGTGCTCCTCACATGTGTGACATCACTGACACCTATGAGTACACTATGGGACTGTGTCCTTCACAGCACTAAAGAATATTGATACCCAGTTTACATAAAGGTCTTAGGCAAAGAAATGCAATGCCAGGGGCATGCAGCATGTGGTTAAAGTCTCGGGACAAAAAGACATTACACAGATAGATAAAACTGTAATTTCAGGTACTTTATTATAGAAATGAAGGAAGGAACACAGTCGGAAGCAAGTATTCTAGCTCCTTGAGAAGGAAGCTGGAGGAGGTCTAAGAAACTGTGAGGAGATGACAGTTGGTCACTTGTACAGTGACAGGCAGGTCTGTCTCCCGCTGTGATGTAGGTCTTGTCCATGATTTCTGCTGGTAATCCCTTCCTGTGGCCATTTCTCCTGTGCTAGCACTCTCTTGGTCCATAATCACTCTACCAGACTGCCCAGACATGACAAAGCAATCCACTGCTGTGCTAAGCCTTTCCACTCTTCAATCTGCTCTTGTTCCAGCAGTAGTTGTGACAGCAACACCAACAGTGAAGGAGACCAGAAGTAGCACTCCATTCCAAAGCTAAATTGCTGGCTGCCAACTTGTATCTGGCACTGCAATCCACCTGAGCTGTACTCCTCATGGTTTCAAGGACCTGCTGAGTTGAGATGTGCTAACTGTTCAACAGCCACAGGCAAAGAATCCCAGGCAAAACAGCAGTGGCTGCAACACTAAGATGGCACATCATGTTCTCTCTCAGTCTCTTGAGGCTATAGTTGATAACAATCTGAGGAGAAAGAGTTTGTCCAGCAGCATCTTTTTTGGAGTTCATTTATGATGGAAAGAAGAGTATACATCTAGGGCTTTTTGGAAATCAAATTCTTCCTGTTGCGGGAGGGAGGCCTGTGAAGAAACAAGTAGTAATGGGAGTTGTCTGGAAGAGTATTTCGTCTTCTGAGAATGGCAATCTGTGAAATAACTACTGCTTGAAATTTTTCTGGATGAATACATGTCTGATGGTAGATGTCCACATCATCTCAGATGAAGATATAAATGGGCTGTTCCTCTTCTAACTAGAGGATGCAAGAGGATCCTCTTATAGACAAGGCACAGTTGTGGTTCAGATACCACATAGCACCTAGGCTTCTATTCCATGTAACACACTGTGACAGGCAGAGTGCGCTTGATGTGATCTCGGTGTTGGGGTCTGGTAGGTTCTAGGGCTCTTTCTTTCTGCTAGGTTATAGCCTGCAAAAGTAAAGATCACAGTTTTGGGATCTGGTTAAGGCTTCTGCCCCAAGTCCTCTGGAGCAGCATCCACTTGGCCCTTTTACTTACTCCCAAAACACAGGAATTCCCCCAACACCTACTGCAACAACATCAATGCCAGAGGTACTCACCGTTTGTAGACAAGTTCCTCTGCCTGCTGGTGGGCGCTGGTAGGAGCATCAGCTGTTGGATGTGAAGTGGTCAACCAGCACAGCACTCAGAAGATGCTGAGCATTGCTTCAGTTTTCACCTAAAATTTGCCAGTCCTCATCAGCTCTGCTCCATTAAACTGATGTTTCCCAGCATAGTACAACACTGGAGTTAGAAGAAAGAGAGGCTGCGTGTACAATACCTTTTTGCAAAAGAAACAGTAATGCTAAATAAACTAGACGTTGGCCAGAAACAGAGAAAATGTGGGAAAAACAAGCAAGCACAATGTAAGCCTGTAAAGTTGCCCACTGGAAGCTAAGAGAACGTGTTATTCAGATGCTTGTCTAGCTGTGCAAAACACGTCCTTCAGACATCATGGAGACATGGCCATCTGGCCTGATGGACACAAATCACTTCTGAAAGGTAACTGGATAATCTGGGGAGAAAATGGAGCTTTTACTGGCTATCTTAGGAGACAGAAATCCTGGGTCTGAGGTGATCAGACAACTTGTTATAAGTTTTTTGAACTAAGAGACTTAAATCCTACTGTACATCTGACAATCTGGTTCTTATCTCCAAAAAATATTCCAAACTCTTGCTCCAATCCTTTAAAGAATTACAAACAAAAACAAACGATTGTCCATGAAAAGAGATTCAAACTGTCATCTGGCATTCAGATAGCGCTTCACAGGCTATTATTAATCTAACTTTGCTGCCTTTACTCACGCTACTTAGCACCCAGTCACCCAAGGTAGCATTCAAGCAACCTTGATCTGAGAAAGGCTCATGAATTCAGACAATTCAGGCTACATGCAAGGGTCCAAAGACAGATCTGGCATTGCAGGAAATACCACAGGCAGAAATTTACATAGCAAGAGATTAAAACACAGCAATTGCAAGTGTAGTGTCTCCCAGGCTCCCCAGGCAACAGATGTGCATGGCTCCTCCAGTGCAAAGACCAGCACCAGCACTGTGCTGAAATCACTGAATGTTCTACATTTCTATATATAAAGTTCTGATTTCACAAACAGCAGATTCACTCAATATGCAGAAACTTAACTGGATTGACCTGTCCAAGGCCAAGGATTTTTAACCTTTTGTCAATCTATGCTAACACTCAGGCTCCAAACTCTCCATTTATACATCTAAATAAGCACAGGCAACTTCAAAAATCTGTGGTATCTCAGAGCTAACATAGTGTCTGCTTCACCAGCAGCCCTCTACTGAAGCAATTTAGTAGAACCCAGTGAATACTAATGCATTTCAGTGTCTATAAATGGAATTACAACATGACTGCAAGCAATCTTTCCCTCCTCCCCCCCCCCTCCACCTTTTTTAAAGCCTTGAACAAAAGCTTTTTGAAAGCAAAAACCTCGGCATATTTTTTCTTGCTGCAATAAACACATTAGGAATGTTTACATATTTCTATTAGATTGATTGCCTCAAGATTTTTAGCACGCCTTGGGACAGTTCTATTTTTAAAATCTTCACTGTGTACAGAATACTTGATAATAAGCTTTAAAATTTGACTGGGCAGAACTACTATTGAAATGTTTTCTCAAACACACGAGCATTCCAAGAATACAGATGATTTTGCAGATCTCAGCCAGAGGAATTATTCAGATGTCCAAGGTTTAAAATACTCCTGAACAACAATGTAAAGCTGTAGGATGCTACAAAAAGAAGGTGCTTATTTTCAAACACCAGAAATCTGAGTTTAATTGTGCACATCTAATCTTACGGTGAACGAACTGCAGGGAATTAAAGACTTAAGAAAACTCATAATCTTCTTTAAAACTGCCTGACTAAAGCTGCTGACTTGATTTTGCAGAAGCAAACCAACACTAAAGGAATATCAAAAGGAATATTGAAGGAATATTAAAAGTGATCCAAAAAGGTAGTCCTGTAAGTCTTGAGAAAACATCCCCACCCCATTTTTGCTGCTGCGTAGAGCCAAGGGTTGGACTCGATGATCCTTATGGGTCCTTTCTAACTCAGGATATTCTGTGATTCTATGGTCACCTCCTCTCCAAGCAGTCACTCAGATGGGGAGGGAATTGGGACAAACCATATGGCCACAGGTCAAGGCAAAGGAAGAGGAAGAAGTGAGATGGTGTTAACACAGTGCCCTTTCTGAATTTGACCCCTGAAGCATTTGTGTCCTCCCTTCCACTGTTTAGGTCAATAGAAATGGAAAGGCAAAATTGCTTGAGGTTCAGAAGACCTGAATGCCTAAACACGTACAACACAAAAGGCACCAGTACCGCAACACAATGCCATTAGTAAAACTACTAGTTCTAGCCTGCCAACAGCTACATAACACTTATTGCTCACAGCCACCACATCAGCGTGTTGATGCAGGATGCTGTGGAATGGTATTTTAGCACCAAAAGCTATCTAGTTCATCTACAGACTGAGGATACTATTCTTATTTCATGTGCTCCTGCTTCAGTTCTTCTGATGATGAGATAGTACAGTCACATAGTAACAATAAGAAGTATTCGAATTTAGAACTGTAAATTAAAAACAAAAACATAATTAATCAACTAAGCAGACTGAACACAATTTACAGTTAGTTAAAATAGAGAAAAAAGTAATCCATGGTAGCATTTTTGCCTTTACTTTTTTTTAAAATTGCTTTGAATATGAAGTCTTGCCTGCTTACACATCCAGTTGTCAGGTGGTCGTGTCAAATTAGTACTAGCATACCTGAAACCTGGTATTTCAAAGACTAAACCTTCTCTGAACATTTTAAAGTGGTAATTACTCCAGACAGCTAGGATATTACAAAACTAGCCCAATACTATACATATATCCCCTTTTTAAAAGTAGAGATTTCACCCATATTTTAGGTAATTGCTTTAATAATCTTACAGATTCTCAAAGTCTCAAATACATATAAATACCTATCCAAGGAAAGGACCAAGTGCCTTCACTCGGCAGAACTTAAAGCAGAATAATATACTCTTCAAGAGCTTGTATACCTTTAAAAAATGACTACCTAATCCTAGTAATCTCACAGTGTCATAGAATGGCCTGGGTTGAAAAGGACCACAATGATCATGTAGTTTCAACCCTCCTGCTATGTGCAGGGTCCCCAACCAGCAGACCAGGCTGCCCAGAGTCACATCCAGCCTGGCCTTGAATGCCTGCAGGGATGGGGCATCCACAACCTCCTTGGGCAACCTGTTCAGTGTGTCACCACCCTCTATGGGAAAAAATTCCTCCTAATATCTAACCTAAACCTCCCCTGTCTCAATTTAAAACCATTCCCCCTCGTCCTATCAGAAGCCACCCTCGTAAACAGCCATTCCCCTTCCTGTTTATACACTCCTTTCAAGCATTGGAAGGCCACAATGAGGCCTCCCCAGATCCTTCTCTTCTCAAGCTAAGCCCAGTTCCCTCAATCTTTCCTCATGGGACAGGAGCTTGAGCCCGCTGTCGTCAGTATGACAAAAAATAGGAATTTAAAAACCATATATTTCTATGTTACTGTGTCTCTAAATCATATATTTTTTTGGCAACTAAAGGGAGCCAACTATTTTATTTAGTGAAATATTAATAATTCCCATGTCCATGACTATAAATCTAGCTGGCTTTATTGCTGCAAGTATCTACTGAGGTATCACCATCAGAGAGCAACCAGAATGAAGTGGGAGGCATTCTTTGGCAGTGCAGCTATTGCCACAAACATACCACCTCAATCCACAAACCCATAAAGGAGGCAGTAGATAACAGCCTTTGCAGAAGCACAGTCAAGCTGCTCCAAGTTTGACCATGGCACTTTCTAGTTAAAGATTCTATCTTCCATTTATTAAAAGAGGCTAGAAAGCCACAATGCAGCAGTTCCAATACCACCCTTTCTATTAACTGTGTGGCACTGGGTTGGCACCACTGTCCAGCAGAAATCTGCAAAGCTTAAACCCTTCCATCTTTTCTTATTCCAGGCTTGAGGTTTACTCAAAATGATGAGATCCACTTCCATGCTACTGTAACCTTATAACTACTGACTCCACTGAATTGGGAAAATGCCCTTAAATTAAAAAATTATGCAGACAAGTGTAAGAACAATGCAAAAACCCCGAGAAGACGTGCACCCAAGCCCATCAATTTATAGAGCAAATTATTTACTTGAGTTCTTATCTGGAAGCCTGTCTATCTTCCACACAACAGCCCTGTAGGCACTCTCATATTTTGCCGTTCCAACTGAGACTTGTATTACAGGATCAGATTCGATCTCATGTAAAGAGCCAAGGCACGTTCTTCTATTCATTTTTGCTTTTAGGGACTTCTGCCTTTGCAAGTTCATGGTCCAAAGTGCTTTAACCCACTGTGCAGGAACTGGAAAGTGTATCATAACATTTTCACAGCATTTCACAGAGGGCAACCGTGTTGGGATCAGAGCAGTTGAAGACATATTTATAAAAGCCTGAAGTTCTACATATGCCCCTTGAACCACTACCATTGCCTTCAGAGAAAATGGAAGGTCTTCTCCATGATACTGTGTCCTGAAACGCATTAGCTCCAGCCTACAGGCATCAGGGGGTGTAAACTTGATAATTCGCAATTGCTCAAATTCCTGTATTTTGACACAGTTGTGGAAATGGCAATCAAGAATATTGATCCATTTCTTCTCCACCTCCTTCTCAAAGTAACGCTCATCCCTCTTCTGGAGTTCCAGGTCATTTAGAGTTAGAAAGCAGTCAGTACCTCCATTCACAAAACACAAACAGTAAACATGTGTGATAACAGCACTTTCTACAAGCTTTCCTTCTCCCTTAGTGACTTTTCCCCAGAAGTTATCCACTATTTCCAGAGTCATTTCTTGCTCTTCATAATTTCTCCTTTGTTTAGAAGTAGTAGGAAGCTTCATAAGCTCTTCTTCAACTGTTACAAGGAAATCAGTGAAGTCATTATAATCTGTGGTTCCCAGCTTTAACATCTGCTCAACCTCTGGCTCATGGATCACTTCTACCTTAGGATGATACCTCCTTTTCTCTGTGTAAGATACACATTCAATCTTCACGGTGTGAATTTTTCCTGAAACATTATAGCTCTCCAATTTGGGTTCAGATAGCTTACAGTGTGGCTGAAGCTGGAATTCTTTGAAAGGTTTTTCCAGTCCTTTTTCATAGTACATCTGTAATATTCCTCCAGCTAGGACCCTAAGGTAAATAGGGCCCCATTGCCGAGATGACATCATATTCTTCTTTTCAGGAATCCTCAGCATGAATGGCCATCCATCAGCTTTCCGGCTCCTGAACAGGCTGTGAGGAACAGCTGGGGGATCTTTATGCCATTCATGAGAACTGGAGATGGGCAGAGTTCCCACAGCATCAGAGCCATCAGCTTGCAGGTGTTCAAGCCTCTCACAGATGTAGCTGAAGGAGCCCTGGTTAAGGCTCTTCTGATCATGGCAAATCTCTTTTTCTTTAGAATGACAAGTGCCTTTATCAAGCACTTTATCCTTCCCGTACACATTAATGTCAGCTGGTGATGTGCTGAGTGAGCATCCTTCCTTCCAAAAGGGACTGGAAAAACCACAGTCGGTCTGGAAGTATGGGAACTGCCCCACTACTGATGACTCTTCTGACTTGTCACAGCTTCCCTGCAGATCAGTGTTTCCTTCATCTACTGATTTGGAGACTGAAGTCTTAACTGAACCATCATTAGTCAAAAGAAGGCTGCTGGGTTTCTGCAAGGCTAGGGAAGAGCAAACCCCAGGTGATGGAGGGTTAGCATTTGGTGGCCATTCAGGAATAGGATAAAGGACATGAATCCCGTGCTTCTGGATGCCTGGGTATTCTCTGGTAGGTGTAGTAAGTGGAGAGTTACTGGGTGGGCCAGGACTCAGGTAGAAGTCAACTACAGGAGATGAGAGTGGAGTGCTACCTGTAGAAGATGATCGACTTGAAGATTCATGCACAGTAGATAGATTGAGTTTCAGTCCATTTGCTTTACAACTGTTCTGATTATGAACCAGTTTCTGAGGTGACTGGAAGAGTGGTTCATCATCAAAGGTAACCCAGTTGGCTGGATTTGTGGAACACATCTTGTAGGAGAAATCTGAAGCACTCGCAGATGTATCACCCACAAACCATCTATGAAGAAACAACAGACATAATCAGAAATCAATTCTCTTGAAAGAAAAAATGTGAGAAATCCAATCCTTACAAATACTCAAACCACACAAAGCTTAAAAATCATGTGCAGTTTACAAGCCATATAGAATCATGAAGTGATTTGAGTTGGAAGGGACCTTATAGACCATCCGGTCACAACCCCTCTGCTTTTGGCAGGAACACCTCCCACTAGATCAGGCTGCCAAGTCCCATCCAGCCTGGCCTCAAACACCTCCAGGGATGGGGCAACCACAGTTTCTCTGGGCAGTGCACCACCACCCTCATAAAGAAGAATTTCTTCTTTTCATCCAATCTAGACATACCTTCTTTTAGTTTAAAATCTAATGTATTTTGTGTATTACATGTCTTTGCTCTTGTCATAGACAGTATGATATCCCATGGGTGTCAAGGATCACATAAAAAAAATATTTTCTACCGTACAGTTTAGCTGCATAATACAGGCAGAGATTTTTCTATACTATGCCTCTGCTTCCAATGAGGTTTCTTATCTTTCTGTCCATTAACAAACAGTGTTTTACTCAGAATGGTGCAGCTGTCTCCAAGAACAAATCTGGTGCTACGCTGAGCTGTAGCAACTCAGTGCTGATGGAAAAGGAGCACATATTACTGCAGTCACGATAAAACCAGTCCACCAAGCTAACTCATGCAATGAACAGCCACTGCAGGGCAGACACTCTCACTGTGTGACAGGCACAGGTGACAGCGCCCATATGAGCATCTGCAGGTGAGAGGCTGCAGAGAGGATGCTGCCAACATCAGAAGCAACCCATGGCCCACAGCCTGCTCCATGCTCATACCTGAGATGCCTCCTGGATCCAGACAGTTATCATGTCAGTTCTTTCACCACTGGACTAATACATTAAAGATCACATGTGTCACAGTGAAGTTAGAGAGGGGAGGTGGAAATGCTCAAGAATGAGCTAGCCATAAGAGAGCCCTCGTGAGACCTCACCTGCAGCAGTGTCCAGGCCTGAAGCCCCCAGCACAATGAAGATGAGGAATTATTGGAATGGCTGCAGAGGAGGGCCACGAAGATGTTTAGAGGGCTGAAGCACCTCTCCTATGAAGAAAGGTTGAGAAAGCTGGACTTGTTCTGCCTGGAGAAGAAAATGCTCTAGGGAGACCTCACTGCATCCAGAGGGAGCTTATAAAAAGAAGGAGACCAATGTTCTATATGATCTAATAGTGAAAAGACAAGGTGGAATGGTTTTAAATAAAAAGAAGGGAAACTGAGGTTAGACCTTGGGGAAAATTCTACATCAGAGGGTGGTGAGGCCCTGGCACTGCTGCCCAGAGCTGTGGTGCCCCATCCCTGGAGGTGCCCAAGGCCAGGTTGGATGGGCCCTGGGCAGCCTCAGCTGGTGGGGGCAGCCCTGCCCACAGCAGGGGTTGGGGCTGGGTGGGCTGTAGGGTCCCTTCAACCTGAGCCATTCTGTGATTCTATGATGATACGAATACAATACACCTCTGCTGAAGTGCAGACTAAAAGCCTTCAGCAGAGACACAATGCTGCCAGTCAAGGCCAAGTAAGTAACAACATATGCTATGTACTGAATTGGCAGGCGTCCTGGAAAAAGCACCAGGCTTCAAATCAATTAATAAAACCACACTTCATCAAACAGATTAACTTTGGTAAAGCGCACAGCTAGATGTCCTCTAAGCAGGACATCTATTTACTGGTATTAATTATGCTTGCCTTTGCTGTTTTCAATAATTCACTGAAATATAAACTCATCGTAGGATGCATAATCCCCAGAGTTCTTCCTCCTCACTGCTCCTGACTGGATGCAGAAGTAAGAAATAAATTGCTGATGACTGCAAAGGAATCCACTACAATGAAGCACCACAGGGCCTATATAAACACTGTTCATGTGAGAAACATACTCTTATTGTGTCAGAATGCATTCACATTTGCCTGAAAGCACAAGGAAGGCAGAGTTCATTTACACAAAGCCACCTGCACACGCATTACTCTGTTAATTACACTTAGATAACAATGGCTTAGAGCCATTCTCCTTCATGTACAAACAGACATAGGCTATTTTCTAATTGCAAGGCAAGGATGTGTGCATATAATCACGTAACCACAAAAGCCATTCCTCATCTGTAGTGTTTGGAGAATAGTCTGTTTCTAAAGACAACAAACTTCAGCCAAGTTAAATCTTATGCCATAAGTCATTATTGCTTAAAATTTCTCCCTTATTTCTTGGCTAGTTAATAGCCTTGAAGAAATCAAACCGTGACACGAAGCACTCAATCTACTGCTGAACAAATACATGCTTGGCACGGAGACACTCTGGGCCTTCATTATTTTTCTGACCTCTCGGCTTTCTTGTTAAGTAAAAATATTTACGCTATGCCAGTTATTTTATAAGCATTCTCCTGTCCACAGATAGAGAGGGGGAGAAAAAGAGCAAACAAGTTACAAATGGCTATCATAGCTCAGACACACAGCTACTACTGTATCCTTCACCCACTCCACCCCTTCAGCAAAGTCAAGGGGAAGGAAAATCACAGCGGCTTGTTCTCTAGTTTGGTCGTCATTTTCCCTCCTGTTTCACGCTCCCCTCCTCTGTCCCTTCTATGGCATTAACGACTATTTCTACACATAGCAAGCTTCAATGCTTTCAGCCTCGCTCCATCCGCATCTGGCATTTACAAAAAGCAAGCGACTGCCAGAGAGAGAAGAGCACAGCCGACAGCAAGCTCTTCTTGCCGCACGGGCTCTGGGAGAGATGCACAGGCACAGCCTGACGGAAATGACGGCGAGCTCAGCAGGCTGCCAAACCCAGCCTTGCCTCCCACTGCTGTGTGCTGAGGGGCAAACCACCAACTACTAAAGCTGCATGAACAAACAAGACAAGATTAAGTGGAAATGTAAGCAAAGACGAATGCAGTTTACAGGAAAAAAAACCATGTGTTTTGCATCCTAATTCCTTCTCACACGACAAATGAAGTTTTTCAGTGCCCTGTAATATTTCCAGATGTTATTTCTTTTCCCAGCTCCTATTGCTACTCAGACTTTGTAAAACGTGATGTTGCAGATTATTGAGCGTGCTTTTTCCTGTTGCAAAACACACTCATGAAGTTGTTTGGAGCACACCTGCCAAAGATTTAACTTCAGTCACCACACGTCTGTGAGAAAAATACTCAGGTAGATGGAGCTCTCCTCTGCACTGACAACAGCATTCGTGTTCCACTCAAAGACTGCAGCTTTCACCTTTTATTACTTTTTCAGAACAAAAAAAAAAAAAAAAAAAAAAAAAAAAGGAATACTGTGAAAGAAAGCAAACAAAAACCCCAACACATGCACAAGAAGCAAATGTTGCAATAGAATCATAGAATGGCCTGGGTTGAAAGGGACCACAATGATCATCAAGTTTCAACCCCCTGCTACGTGCAGGGTCACCAACCAGCAGCCCAGGCTGCCCAGAGCCACATCCAGCCTGGCCTTGAACGCCTCCAGGGATGGGGCATCCACAACCTCCTTGGGCAACATGTCCCACTGTGTCACCACCCTCTGGGTGAAAAACTTCCTCCTAATATCTAACCTAAACCTCCCCTGTCTCAGTTTAAAACCATTCCCCCTTGTCCTACCACTATCCACCCTCGTAAACAGCCATTCCCCCTCCTGTTTATACACTCCTTTCAAGCATTGGAAGGCCACAGTGTGGTCTCCCCAGAGCCTTCTCTTCTCCAAGCTAAACAAGCCCAGTTCCCTCAACCTTTCCTCATAGGAGAGGTGCTCCAGCCCTCTGATCATCTTAATGCTCCTCCTCTGGACCCACTCCAAGATATAGATAGCAGTTCCACTGCTACTGCTCCCTGTTCACCACAACAACCATGGGGAGTGGAGAAAAAAAAATCCAAACAGGTCCTTAAGGGCTATTTTTGTGATGTCATGTTAATACGATGACACGCACCCTCTCCGCTGTCACAGGCAGCACCATCCACAGAGCACTTAAATATTTACAGCCTTACCTACTTCACACAGTTTGTTCTCTGATGCCGTTACAATAAGTTAATCTTGCCTCTCGAGTTCTAAAAAGTGCTTCAAATTCCTTCTTAAGAATTAAGGCATTCTTCCTTTAAAAGGCAGTAGAGTCAAGCTGCAAAACAGATTCGTCTGGGCTCCAAAAAGCTCCCCTGGGATGCGTGTAAGCTTAACCCAAGCACTTTAGGCAAAAGGAAAACAGTATGAGACGCCATTGATCTCTATGACCACGTATGCTATGCAGTCTATAACATCTGAATTACGTGCACGTATAGCATCTCATTCAGATATGTGACAGGAAATGCCCTTTTTAGAGTACTAGGATTACAGACAAAGCAGCCAGTTGAAATGACAGTTGATCCTAAATTAGACTCCAGCAAACCCAAAAGCTGAGACTTATTTCAGCTCATCCCATTCTATCCAAAATCATTATTTCTGTTTATCAGATGAACTCAGTCTCTCAGCATCTAATAAACAGAGGTTGCAGTTTAATTTCTTCATTTTATTACCTCAAGGACATAAGGAAGAGGTCCCCTGTACCAATATTGTGAGATTTCACAGGCTGTAGCTATTAGCAAGTCCTTTACTGCTTCTAAAATCCCAGATCAAATTTGCAGCTAAAATACTGCTCAACTACTGTCAGTCTGCTGCTGCAGTGCAAGCATAAAGCTTGCTTGCTACAAGGGGCAACTCAAAGCATTGGTATGTTTCATCCTTGTTCCTCAGCCACTTGAGGTCAGCAGCCTCCTCCAGCTTTGTCTGCACTGCCCCCATGCACTATGACCCCCATACATCAGCACATGGACATTTCCAGGAACATCTTCATCCACTCTTCGCATGCTAACTGGAAATATAACACAAAACTCTCCCTAGTATGCACTGTCCCATAACAACACCATATGAGTTTTCACTGTTTGTTGTACAAATATGCAGACAATTCTTAAAGCGTTTTGCCATAAAGTGTAATGGTTTCATGGGGAGGTACAAATTCTCTGCAGATTAAGCAGATAACACACATATGGTATATAAAATACCCTAACATTCTAAGTCCTTGTAATAGCCAACAAAAATATGACAATTTTATCTCTGAACTTTATAGCCATCTTCCTTGTATTGCTGTGTTGTTTATCACATAACTACACTGAAAAAAAAAAGACAACAAAAGCTTGAAGTACACCTATGAAAAACAGGTTGATTTATGCCGATTTGCCTCAAGTTTTGTTATAAGACTGCATATGGCTGCACTTTTATTTAACTCTGCTCCACATCTCCGAGACATAAAAACATCTTCGACCTACACTGCAGCAAACACAAGCAAATGGCAAAGCTGACTGGAAACAGGAATTTCTTGGCTTTTGTTTGTGTTTTGGATGTACACATGGAGTCTCCCGCTGCATTACTCATGTGGTAACTTCTCAAAAACAAGCTGCTGCTGTAAGGGTCAGCAATACTTCAAAGCGTGACAAAAACTGGCGCTCACATTGCTGGCTCTGCAGGGCACAGGCACAGCTGGGAGAAGCTGTCAGGGTGGAATTCCCTGCTCCCAGCCCCAGCAGCGCATCCTCACATCCTCAGCATGAGGCAGGAGCAGCTCGCTCCATCCCGAGTCATGCAGTTTATTGATACAGCAGCTGAAATCACACCCAGAGGTGTGAAAATATTAACACTCTTAATGGCATCAGCACAGTGTAGCTCCAGCAGAGCTTATGCTTGCGATGGGAATAAAGCAAACCTCACAGCTGGATATTGTCTGTGCTGGGGGGAAAAAAATAAGGTAGCAAACATACAAACACTGCAACAAGCAGGGGGTAATAAGCTACTGTGTCATTAAAATGTCATGTCTGTTTACTGGCCCAAATGCTTTGTCCCTAGAGAGTACCCAGAGCAGAAGGCAAACACTAGAGTGCTGCAGAGCAAAACACAACTTCTCTGCACAGCCAGACAGGGATGGCCTATCTTTCTGTATATACTAAAAGTCCAGCTGGAAGGGACCTTCAGAGATCATCTCCTCCCACTGCCCAACCACCTCAGGGCCAGCCAAAAGTTATAGCACTCAATGAGGGCATTGTCCAAGTGCCTCCAGAACACTGAGAGCTGCAGGGCACCAGCTGCCTTGCTATGCTGCCCCTTCCAGTGTCTGACCACCCTCAGGGTGAAGAAAAAAACTGCCTCAAAGACAACAAAACCACACATGTGACTGGTCCTGCTTAGGCAGAGCTCCCTGTGTGGCACACTATGCTCCAGCCAGCTCATCCTTGTCACAGACAGGATGCCACAGTCAGCATTGAATGAAAAAACTAAATTCAGGGCCTCTTTCCAACATTATGTATCATACTGTGTGCTGGAGATAGAGGTGGGAGACACATTCTGACAGTTTTACATCAGCATTTAAAGCCTCACCATGCTTGGGTGGCTTATAGGCAGCACTGGCCCCTTCCTCAAGAGCAGCACAGCACAGCCAGCAGAGCCCTCTGACACAGCACTGCTGCTAGCAGAGCCACCATCTGCTAGCACTGCACCTCTCCCTGTCACAGGGCTTGGGGACTTACACCAACACATCTCCACCGTGTTACTGAATTGGCCCACAGCATCAGAGGTGAATGCTGGTGAAACTGCAGCAGAGGTTGAGCTCTCCTTCCTACCAACATCCTTCTGCATTTATTGCTGTGGGACAAATGGCAGCAGAGGAGCAGTCTGACACTGTGGCATCTGACACGTAAGTGCAGATGGAGCAAAGGTGAGTCACTGAATTGCTCCTTGCAGAAAATATGGCACCCACTGACATTCATGGATGCTTGATGAAAGTTTATGGAGACCCGACAGTGAACATGAGCAGAGTGAGGCTGTGGGTGGTGTTTCAGCAGTGGCAACAGCAATTACCTCCACTGGTACAGATTTGCACAAGCGCAGCATGCAGGCTCTTGTTCATCGCTAGCAAAAATGCAGAGCTAACGGCAGAGCTGGAAAATAGTGTTTTGTAGCTGAGAATCTGCTCTATCAAAAAGTGTTCTAGCAGTCTTTGTAGTTTCCACGCAAATAAATAGGAGGCATTACTTTCAGAGCAACCCACGTGCAATTCCTATCAGTCATACAGGAATCCTCATCCAGATTCCTCTCCAGAAGTTCCTCTACGACATACGTGAGAACAGCCAACTCCCTGAAGCAAAATACTTCAGCTCTCACTCAATACCAATCAGAACCATGAGGCAAGGATGGGAAACAAGAGCAGCCGTGCCCTCCGGCACCACCCGCTGCGCCGCCGTGTCAGAGGTGACATCCACACGCACAAACACGGCCTTAATTTGCCTCAATTAGCGATCTGGACACGGGTAGCAATGCGAGAAAGCTGCCCCGTTACACTTACACACATCCCATTGTTTTCCCGAGTGAGAGAAAATAACTTTGTGCGGAAGGAGGGGGGGAAGAGAACAACGAGACCCGAGCGCGTAGCCAGGCCCCAACACGGCTTCTGATCAGAGCAAAGCCCAGCACGGCTGCCTCCGTTTCTCCCTCTGTTAGGCACGCAGGAGAGCAGCGGCCTCCAGACGGGGACCAGGGAGCCGGCAGGGAGATGAGCGGTTCCGATGTAAGATCCTCAGCCATCGCCTCGCTCCCGCACCGAGCGGCTCCGGGCGCCCCGCGGCGGGGAGAGAACATCCCAACCCGGCCGAGTTTAACGCAGCCGGCTGCGCTGCTAAAAACCGCGAGAGAGCCTCCAGGAATTCATCCCGCTTCCGTGCTGTACGAAAACAAACCGAGAGCCCAAACTAAGGAAGAATCAGCCCCCGCCGTCCGGCGCAACGCCCGACCCAAACGCAGCCCTGCGGCCGCTCCCGACGGCGGCTCGGGGCTCCCGGCACCCCCAGCCGCGCCCCTAAGCACCGCTTCGCCGCCAGCTAACGCTTACGGACGGAAAAACAGAGCCAAATGTTTTTCAACTCGCCCAAAACAAGAAGCCCACCCACCGGCTCGCCCTCGAGCCCCCAGCTGCACTTTCACGCCAAACTCCACTTTTGGCGCAGACGCTGCCGCCCGGCCCCGACTGCCCGCGCCCCGCTGCGCCCCCCCCCCCATCCCGGCATCACTCCAGCGGCCCCGGGAGCAACTCCTTACCCGGCCGCACAGGACGGAGACGCCGCCGGCAGGAGACGCGGCAGCAACGGCCGGCACCGGCCGGACAGGAGGCGCTGTCGTCCTGCAGGCGGGGCCAGGATCCGCCTCGCAGCCCCGCCCCGGCACGGCTCGGGTGGGGTCGGGTCGGGTCGGATCGGTTGGAATTGGAGTGGCTTCGATGGGAAAGATTGGTCCGGCATGACACGGCGTGGCACGGCTCGGCAAAGTTCGGCTTGACACAGCACGGCGCAGTTCGGCACAGCGCCTCTCGGCTCAGCCCAGCATGGCGCAGCACAGTTTGGCACGGTTCAGCATGGCTAGGTATGGTTTAGCACAGCTCAGCAAGGTTCAGCTTGGCATGGCTCAGCACAGCTCTGCAAGGTTTGGCTCGACACAGCATGGCACGGTTTGGCATGGCTCTTAGCAGCACAGCTCAGCATGGTTTAGCATGGCTCGGCACGGCTCAGCACAGTTAGGCACATTTTGACACGGCTCAGTGTGAATTCACACAACTCAGCTTGGCCCAGCAGGGCTGAGTTTGGTTTAGCACAGCCCACTTTGTCATGACCTAGCACAGTTCAGGTCAGAATGGCTCAGCACAGCACATTTCAGGTTGACCTGGCAGGGCTCAGGTTTGGTGGGGATGCTTCAGCCTGGCATGGAACAGGAACTGGAATGAGCCCAAAACCGGAGGTGAACTGAGAAATGGAACCAGAAATACAAATGTAACCAGAAGCAGGCTGTGAACTGGAAGTGGTCACTGAGCCAGAAGTAAAACTGCAGCTGGAAGGAGATGTGGAACCTAAAGAAAACACGGGACTGGAAGCGGAACCAAACCCTGATTGAAGGAGTGGCAGTGAATGGCTAACTGGAAGTGAACGCAGAGCCGAAGTTGAACCAGAAGTGAACACAGGACAAAAGAGGAAGTACAAATGCAATGGAAGCAGACATGAAACAAGAAGTGGAAATGTAACCGGAAGTAAAACTGCAACCAGAAGTGATCATGGAACTGGAAGTGGAAAGGAAACCAGAAGTGAAAGGGGAAGGAAACGCAGAACCAGAATTGGAACCACAATTGGAAGTGGAAGTAAATGAGAAACTGGAATTGAAAGTGGAACCAGGAGTAAAAGCGGATCGGAGCAGAAATGAATCCAAACCCATAAGTGGAACATGAAGCCAAAAGTAGAAGATGAACCAGAAGTGGAAATTAAACCAAAAGAGGAAGTATAACCCGAACTGGAAATGGAACGGGAAGTTGAAGTGGAATCAGGAGTTAAAATATATTGCCCGTGTCATGCAGGCAGTGAGCTCTGGGCTGAGCGAGGTGGCTGCCTGAGGCCTCGATAGGTGTGCCCTAGAGATGCTGGAGTGCACAGTGTGTTGTGCATCCACTGTCTCCATGCACAAGCTGGTGTGGAGGCTGTTGCCAAGGCACCAAGCACACCTCACAGCCTGTGGCAGAACTGGAGCAGAGAAAGCTCCTCAAAACACAGGGCAGCACTATGGGTTTGGATGTTCCTCCAGTGTCCCCAGTCAATATGGGGTGCCCCTCTCACTGAGTCACGCACAGATCTCGCCATTAGCTCCTCCACAGGCTGACCCTCCTGCCAGAATTTTTGGCAGGACACTCCATTCTTGCAGCTTTACCTGGATTCTTCCCAGGCATGAAGACCAATGTTATAAAGCAGGCCGGGTTATTTTTCAAGGAGCCAGCTCCACATACATAGTTCAGGCTCACTGCTCAAACTCCACACAAGGAGTTGTAAAGGCTGTTTATAAAAAGCAAGGGGATTTCTTTATTTTGGTGCGGTGACGAGGACCTGAGACAGCATGCAGGGGCTGGCAGTGAGTTGGCAACAGCCCTTGAATGAGCAGCCTGGGTGGCTGTGCTTGTTGCAGAGTCATCTTGCTCCAATTATTGCAGGGGAGGTGATTAATGATATATGGATGTATACATGTATATATATATACCCACAGTGAGATTAAGGCTCACAAGTCAGTATTGCCCAAACAGTTTATCATATGTTCCTGGTTAGTTAGGCTTGGGGATGGGGCAGGAAGAAGAAAGTGATAATAAAAAGACAGAAAATAAAAGCAAGGGTTCGTTACAGGAATGCAGAGATAGCAACCACTGCAGTTTCACAACATTCCACGAATCTGGGAGGCAGCAGGGATGGGGAATGCAACTTCTCAGTCAGTGATGGGATGTTCTGAGCAAAAAGGCAAGCAACGAAAAAAGGCACAAAAGGATTCAGACAAAAAAGGCATAAGAAGGCAGCAGTCCTTTGTTTGCAAAGTCCTTATAAATAAATGATCCGGTCTTTCTCTGGTTTCACAAGATAACAACACATTTTGCACATTCGACACTACTGTGCAGCCTTATCTACCCCTGCACAGCCAGGGCCCCTCATCTTAGGGTCACTTCCGTCCACCTCAGAAGCAGAACATGAGCTGGGATCCTCCCCTTATCTTTGTTGCCACTGGCAACCACGTGTAGGCAGCAGGGAGTCCTTTAGAGTCTCCCACAGGCTTCTCAAGCAACTTCTGAGACAAAAAACTTCTTTGTGTACACTCACAGGAGTGCAACACCATCCTCATGCAACAGCAGGCATTGGTTTCTGTAAAACTCAGAGCTGTAGGAACTTGGGCCAAATCTATCTTTGTTTGTTTAGAAATTACCCTGCATTTTTGAAAACAGCATCCCTGCCTATTAAAGTGAGAATGTGATCACTGGAGTGTATTATATGTAAAGAAAAAGCACGTTTTCTAAAAAAGGAAAGGTTCCATTTTACTTTTAGATAGAAACAAAATTCTTTGATTCAGCTAGATGGAGCAAGGGAGCAAGCAGAATATTAATTGTCTGGCAAATTGTATGTTAAATTGTAATGCTTTGTACTGGTGAGCATTTCACATTTTATCATCATGGCGGTAGGAGATGGAGATCCCTTCTCTAAGCCTGAACTTGGAGTCTTTCCAAGAGAAGGGAGACCCGGGCTGGGGGTAAGCTCTGGGTTTCCCTGGGCAGATTCATTTCTCAGCAGATCCCTTCACGTCCACCTGAGGCAGGCTGCATTTGCTAGGCTGGCAAGCGTGGATATTGCAGCGCTGCTTCCGTGTGGTAAGGCCAGCTGGCAAGGGGCTTCAGTGACTTAATGCAACCTTAGTCCTCTGCAGAATAAAAAAGGTGCTCTGCTAAAACCCTGAGGTGAGTAAGCAGGAGGTAAGTGAACTGCTTGGTGTTTTGGGAAGCATCAAGAACATCCTTTTTCCTCCGAAAAATATCCTATTTCTTGGGGAAGTCTGTAAGCAACATATCCCCTTCTCCAAATCTTTTTCTCCAAATCTTTATAGCCAGAAGCTGTTGCTGCTGCCTAGAAGAGATGTGAAAGTGACAACAGGAGCTCTGAGCAGCAGAAGAACAAGAGTGGAACACGTGGTCTCAATCATTTACTGGTCTGTACAACGTGCATCTTCATAGTGCTGTGACTGTGGAATGGAGTTCCACCTGTCACACTGAGGTTATGTGACAAAGCACTATGTAGAGCCATGTGGTTGTTGTAAGGAGGATCATATATTTCAATATGCATTGTACAGAGCTGGTGAGTGTTACTTGGGGGGACATAGAGGTGTTTGGGCTCTATAGTGTAGGTGGGTGTATCTTGTAGGATTATTTACAGAGGCATGACTTTGTCTATGCATAGGACATGCTTAAAACAATTTGGCATACAGAACAATTATGGTCAGACGTGCATCAGTGTGACGCTTGTTTGGAGCAATGGGAGTGTATTTTTGGAGGGTGGTGAGGTGCTGCTGTCTCAGTTCAGCATGGGGCTGTAAAATGAGGCTCTTCATTCATGGTGTGCTTCTTCAGAAAAGATTCTTGTGCATGGAGGTAATATGGGGGGCAGTGTAATATCAGAGTAGCCATGTGCAGTACATAGATTACATGGGAGATGTTACATAGGAGAGAGAGGCAAGCACGGGGGGGCACTGTATGGTGTGGAAGAGTTTTCAATGGTCATTGCCACAGCCATGGGGAAAAAACTCAGTTGGTGGCGAGGATAACTGCTGGGGAAAGCTTGTGATGTGCCTGTGCCCATTTTCCAAGGGGATAGTAACCACAGATTGTTGGGTTGTTGTTTGGTTGGTTTTTTTTTGTTGTGGTGATGGGGAAATTACACACCTATTTGCCAAACCACTGCAGAGGAACCTTTATACTTCATCTGAGCCAACTTGCCAAAAGAAGGCCAACATGTTTAAAGAGTTTTCTGCCCAAAGCACTTGAGCTGCTTGCTATGTCATTCAGCAATCTGGATGTTTCTGAGTAGGTAGTAGCCAATAATTTGATTATCTTGCATTGTGCTTATTATAGGTGAGGTGAGGATGATTTGTGGATGTACACTTGGAGGCACAGGTTTGTCATGTATTATGGGTGTGTTTATGTGAGTGGATGCAACCAGTCACATTTGAGTACTGTGTGAAGCTGGTTGCATGCCAGTGAGCTTTGTTTTGGGAGCTGGGTAGCTATTGCCATGCTTACTAGATGGGCTGTGCTATACCTAGTTCAGTGAGTAGCATCATGCCATGTTTAATGAGACTTTGTCTGAACCAGCTGGGAGTGGACATACTATGGAGTGTTCGTATTAGTGTTGGTATACTCCTTAAAAAGAATTGTGTGTACTTATTTCACCTTTGCTGCTACATCTGGAGTTGGAGATAAGAATATATAGGATATAAATCATGCTCCTCTTTGAGGTTTCCAGGAGAACTATCAGCAGCCCTACTTTGACTGTATCTTGCGTAGATCAAGTTGATGAGGAAAAACAAATGGCCTGTCTCTTCTGCCAATGTCTGCTTCTCACTGCTAGACCTTTGCCTAAGCTTGCTAATACTGAATATAAATATTGTCAGAGGAGGTAATCAGGAGACCTTGAAATGTTCTGGGATGTAGATCTCAAAAATCACGTGTCAGCATTTAAGACTTCGCCTATATTAAATTATTTATTGAGCAGGAAAAATGAGTGCTTGGTTTCCAGAAAGAAATGTTTGTGAAGACTTGATTGACAACTGTTTGAGCAGGCTTCTGACAACATTTTTCATGGTTTCC